GTCAGAGCTATGTTTATAGTCAACCCGGGCTGAAATGTCAGACCGGGCTGAGTGAAATAATCTGAGTGTCACGAAATAGGACAATAAGCCTGTTATGCTTCTTTGAAGCAATCAGATGCTGATTAGTTGACTATTTGACTTGTGTGAGACTGTGGTTATATGTAAAGTATTTAAAGATGAAACAAACATGCAAAATAAAGCCATTTAAACGGTTGTTTTTTCAGCCCGGGCTAAAATTTCAGCCCGAAATGTCAGCCTGGGCTGAAACTCTCTCCATCAAGCATCAGCAGATTGTTCAGTTGTTTTGCAATAAGGGTAGCCTTGAAGGTGTCATTATTGCATTAAAACGATAATTGGAACAAAAACTGACTTTATATTTCTATATATGGAATTATTATTAAATTCTACATGTCAAATGATTCATTCAAGTATTATCGTTTATATATAGAATGATTTTGTACAGTATTCAGTGGCAAGCTAGCTACCATGGCAACTGGTCATGCCATATCATGCCAATAAACCTGTATCTATTTGAATAATTCAAATCATTATATTAAAAGCTTGCATAGCGTGACCTGTTGCTATGTCAGCTTCACAGGCTGACAGTATTATAATTATACATACAAAAGCAAGAAGTTATAAGCATTGAATGTATTCATATACATTTAGCTGATCTTTCGACTTTTCCTGTTTACATGATGGAAGTTGGGATGATTTTTGATGTATTGGAATAAGTCACTAGGCTAAACAAAAGTTCAAATGCTTGTTAACAGAACTCAAATATTGTAGACAAGATCTTGTAGTTCAAAAAGATTATAATTGCTGCTTGAACAACCTTTCGTTTACAGTAACTATAATCTATCTCTAGAAAAGTAATGTTTTTTGCTGAATTGTGCACTGTGACTCATTTCAATATATCAAAATCATCCTGCCTCATATCTCGTCCTGGCGAAGCGGGATCGTATAAACAGACCCTTATTCAGCAAATTACGCATGGTGCCATCCCTTGGGGGTGAGGCAGCATTTTCCTTGCGATAGTAACTTCTAGTAGTAAATGTAACGTAAGCCCCTAGATGAGCCTATAGCTACTGCTCTTGGGCAAACGTTAATAATATATATGTTTAAATAAAGTCGTTATCAAACAGTGAACGCGCAATCATCTATAGCTTATAAACATTTGGCTTTCAAAATACCTGGTATCCTTCCGAAGATGATTTAATTAATGCCCGAAACGTAAAGAATGATAATGTTTATATTTTTGGAGTGTTAATTGTTTTGTGTTTTATTAACATACCAGATTGGGCTATTATATTTTGGGTCTTAAAATACCCACCCCACCCTGTGGATTTTTAGGGGAGTGGAAGTTAGTCATTTTTTCCAGTGGGTAATTGGGAAAAGTGGGAGAAAAATGCTGTTTCCAGAGGGGTTAATATTTTATAACCGTTTTAGTAACTTGTATGTATACTCTTGAAAGTTGATTTAAATGCTCTGAAGATGTTGTGATATACTACAACGAAACGTCAGAAAATGAATTTGATTCTTTATTGTTATGTCTTGTTTGAAAGTATGAATATTTATCTTTAAATTACGTACCAACGTGGGTTTTGAAATGGTGAATATAATCACAAGACAAGGAATAAATGAGTATTCCTATTTAGCCGCAAACGACATGAAATACGCCTCATATCCAAACTTGGCACTGTTCACCCTTCTGGCATTAATGAACGCTTTTCTTATGTTTAATGCCATCATAGACAATCCAGAAGACATGTCTTCTGTTTTGTCTATGATGCCATCTGTCTTTGCCTGCCTATAGCAGACATTGACAACTTCTATTTATTACTTTTACTTTTACCTTATTTCCACTCGTGTTTTGTTTTGATTCTTTTTTGTAGTATTTGTCTTAACTTCCTGTTTATTGTTATATTTTTAATTATATTATATTCTGTAATGCGATTTACATATTTTGTTTACACTTTGTTATTATTAAATCCATCTAATTGGTTTATTTTTTTGTCACGTGATACTTTCATACTCTTTGTATAAAAGCCCGTGCATTTTCCCCGATCCCTGCTACTAACTCTTGACGAAGGGCCTTCGCTCGAAACGTCGAGTTTCTGCTTATTTTTTAAAGTAGTAATATAACCACTCATGCAGTACAGCATTTTTACTCTGTGATATATAGAGCTCAGTGGTCTGATCATGAAGGCTAAGGTGGAAGGGTGAGTTAGGGGCTAATCCCTACCCACCCTGTGGGAGGAAACCGGAGTAACAACTTTCGGTAGAGCGTTAACAGACTTTCTCCCATGAGTCACCAAAGAGAAACAAACCCACGATCTCTGACGACTACACCTGTACACCACCGAAGCCTTTTCAAACTGAAAGAAAGTGAAATTATAACTGATATGGGCATAATAATTTAATTAAACTTAAAGTTGTATAATCAAGCTCTGGAACAGTATTATAGATCACTGCCACTTCTCGAAACTTTTCCAGCTTATCAATGTTTAAAACGTTGGCTAAATATACATGTAGTTTAGAGCTGAACAGAACCTTTGACGTGGACATGACGTGCACATATAGTCTACTAGTGCGGGACTGCTCTTGCCATAGGTCATAGAGTAAACTAATTATTTAGAAGTAAAACGTTCGAATAGGAACGGATGATGATGTTTCGTGCGTCATCTTAAGTAATCACTCCAAGAGAGTTGACTAGCTCGAGCTCGATCTCCAAATCATCATTCGCTCCTGTTTAACCGTTTTGCTACTTTCATTGTTTTCATAGTTTTATAATACATATATAGTTATAAATATCTATTACTACTTATTAGAGAATGTAGGTGCCTTGCATGGGACTCCTATATAGTCTCGTTCGCACCTTCCCTTTTGGGCCAGTTGATATTGTACTAATTATTTTAATGTAATTAATGGCACCAATAAAGTTGTTAAATAAAATTTACTCTTTCCGACTAAAAGGAAATATAATATCTACTCACAAGCTGTGCATTTACAGCAATCACTTGCCACCTTTGGATTTGAAGCCACTTTTAAATATTCTCCCTATTAAAATGATTAAACAGATTTAAATAATAAAAGTATAAACGAACTCAGAATCACTAGGAGGAACAAGATTGGTCATCTTGTTACAAGGTTGATGACAGTAACAGACTTGTTACAAGTTGTTCCAATAATGTTCGTAACAAGTTGCTACGAGCCTGCATGTTGTCAACGCCTGTCTGCAGACGATATCAGACTAGCCTGTTAAAACAACTTGTTGCGAGTCTGTTGGCCTCATCAATTTTGTTACAAGATGACAACAGCTTGTTCCAGAGCTGTCAGCAACTGGGAACAAGCAGTGCGAACACATCTTGTTGACAAATGCGACATTTTTACGCGTGTATGTTGTATTACCTCTGCACAAGTGATTCCCTTCGTATCACAAACTGACACCAAGAAGTGCACACCATCTTCACATTCATGTAGATGACATGGATCAACGATCTGCCACGGTATTGGCTGAAATCATCAGATTTGAACATGGTTTAATTTAATCATTCTTTAAATCTTTGGACGTTTTCATGGCAAAGAACAATTTACCAACTTGTGCGTATAGATCATATAAAAGAAATGACGCCAAATACGATTTTTGGTACGTGTAATAATTGGATCATTTCATACACTTATCACTTATAATTATGCCCGTATTCTAAAAGCTCACATTCAATGAGTGGAGGTTCAATCTGAGCTTCTCTTGAGTGTCAATGCTGTTTTTGAATAGCTGGAGGGCGAGTAGTTACCGAGTTAGGTATGACACTAGCCCTCCAGCTATTCAAAAACAGCAATGACACTCGAGAGAAGCTCAGATTGAACTTCCACTCAATCATTGAGTATGAGTGAGCTTTTAGAATACGGGCGTTAATGTCTGCATGCTGCCGAGGGAAACATTTAGTTTTGTTTTCCCGAGAATCTTAATGAGATTCGAGGGGAAACAAAACCATTTCCCAAGGCCAAGAGAGCACACATTAAGTGTTTCGTTACGTTATGGAAACTAGAAAAATAAACAACATTGCATGGTAGGCTACAACAATTGTATTTCATTTAAAATTTAAAAAAAAAAACACTTATAAACGGTTTCAGCAGCATATCCTGTTGCCTGTCGTGCATTTTTCTTCTGTTTTACATTTTTCAATTTAACACAAACTTGGAAAATCCTAGTTTATAAACTTGCGAGTCGTCCAGCCATTTTTTTCATGTATGTGTGTGACCGGTCAGGGCGGCCAACAATTTTTCACATGTTGCTCGGCGCGGGTACATTGCGTTTATCTAAAGCCACGTGACAACACATCAGCCAATCGCGTTTGGTGTTCACCCTAGCTATATAACAAATTCGAGATAATACAACACCATCATCTTGCGCAGACGGTCTTACCATGCATGCGGGTAACGGTCCGGAGAAAATCGTGGGAATTTTCCCCTTTTTCAAACTATCTTGCTTCAGTAACTTGCCCGTAATAGATTTTCCTATGAAAAAAAATAGAATAATCAAATCGGGATGTCGACTCAGGGGCGGCGTTAGAGGAGGGTCGAACACCGCCACAAACCCATGAACGAGTTGGCGAATTGTTGCATTCCTTCAGCAAAAAATGAACTGTTTGGATATGGATCAAATTAACGAATTGAATCATTTGAATTAAAACCAAACTTTTGTTTTTTTTGGGTTTTTTTAGTTTTGGTAACTTTTAAGTTTTAAGTATTAAAATACTTCAAAACGTCAGGTGAATACTCATGTCTTGAAAATGTGCCCCATTGAGTCGTAGCGGGCAATTTAAAAATTCAAAACAGCCCAACAGCCATATAAATGCAGACAAGTGGGTTTTCAACAGCGGTCATAGCTGGAAACGGTTGTTGTGGATGCATGGTTAGGATCAATTTTAATCGTTGAGGTAGTCATTTGAAATCTTCTCCAGAACGGAGGAAATGCCATTTCAGAGACTCTAGATTTCAATTTTTTCCCGGATGAGTATGACCTCGGACCGCCTAGAACTCTGTTGTAGTTAAAAACAATCAAGTGTATAGTCGACAGATCTGACAGATTTTATTGTGCAAGTGGAGACTTTTGCATAATCCGCTTGTATGTAATGCTAACCAAAATTTAGTAAATGTGCCCGTGTACATATAAGCTAATACAGACCAATCTAATGACTCGGTGAAATTAAACCTGACACAGCCCCCCCCCCCGCCCCATTGAAGGAGGCCTAGTGCCGCCCCTGTGTAGACTTTGGCAGGGCAATTGACAAATTCCCTGACGATTTCACTCGTAAGTAGAATGTTCTTGGTCGACGGGAAAGTCAATATTCTATGCCAAGTTCAGTCAATATTCTATACATGTATAATGTATATAATCCGACATACCTTGAAGTCCCACAAAGAAATTAAGTATCAGGAAAATATATAAACCCTGTAATATTTTATTCATTGATTCTTTTCCATAGAAGTTTAGAAAAAATAGAGTTCGTTGGTAATTGACGTTTGTAATAGTGTAAACATCGAACAAGGATTGATATTTTGGCAGGATGAAGAACTGGTGGCAGGATTTATACAAATTGCGCATGCAGGGTACTTTGAGCGAAATAACAGGTCTAAGCAAATAAAGTATTGACGTCCCATGCTTTTCCTTTAACAAGTCAATCTCGTTTCCCGAACCTGCGATCCTCGGAAAGGAACGCGAGGCTCTGGGATAATCCGTTTCAGGGAGGAATCTGATTGGCCGTTGAAATGGAATGCGTAGTTCAATCTTAGTTATTTTTGCCAGCCATTTTTGGCCAAAACTTAAAATCTTCTTGGCGTTCCTCTCAAAATTACTTTTTTAGCATTAAATTAATCTTTATTTTGTAGTTTACACAGTTAACAACATTTTCAAATGTATCTGGCGGTTGAGAAGCACAAAATAATATAGTTAAGTATTTTAAATGAATTTAAATACAATTATCACTGATGAGTGATGGCGATGCTGTAAAATTGCTGTCATATTTATACAGCAACATATAAGCAAAACTTAATTACTGATTCAGAACTTCAGACATCATCATTTCGCTTTGGCATACCATCTAAAATCTCTTCATTGTAGCATTATTTTACAGATAGCACTAAACATATTTTTAAAGTTTGTTTGCCTCTTGAGAAACGTATCAAAAATTTAAAAAATTGAATATAGTCCTAACCAAGTGGAAAAGTATATTCATTTTTAGTATAAATCTACTAGTACACATATCGTGCCTTCTGATTGGCTACGCTACTAGTAGGCTATTAGTGATAGCCTACTAATAGAAAATTAAAAATGGCGGAAAATTCGCGTTTTGCACTTTTGCCGAAGTGTTTGATGATTTTTTGGACCACTTGTTGAACAATTCTGTATTAAAAAAAACCCCACGAAAAAAGCAACAAAAATATGGAATGGCAATTTTTAAAGGTAAGAAAATAAACAAAATAACATACACTCAATGAAATTTTAAAATTAAGACTGAATTAAAGAAGACGCGAACAAAAACTAAAATATGTGTTTACCTTTAATGGTTTTATAATGTTTTTTTTTGTGTATTTTGTATTGTGTTTGCAGCCTAGTTGTAAATTAATGTTAAAGTTTATACTAAAACAATTAGACAACTCGGCCTCGTTGTCTATGAGCAAATAGTCAACTCGGCTTCGCTTCGTTGACTATTTATCATTTATAGACCCGGAGCGAGGGGGATTCGGCGTAATATTTCCCGAAGTGATGATATTTTCCGAGGGGCTTTGCCCCGAGGAAAATATCATCACTGAGGGAAATATCGCCGAATCCCCCGAGCGGAGGGTCTATAAATGATATATTATACCGAAAGTTAAAGAACTCACTAAGAGTCTATCAAGTTCAGAATAAACTTTAAAACTTGCTGAATATTAATAACTACGCGAATAAAATTTTTAATTTCTTATCTATGCCTGAGTTTTTGACGTTTTCTCCTTAAAATATTTGAGCAAGTATCCTTTGGATCGTTGAAAGTAACATACGTGCTGAAATATTTGGTTTATTTAATATTAAAATCTTCTGTAGTTCTGTACGAAATTAATACAAACATGCAACAGCTCGCGAACGCCATATTGTTTCAGAATTCAGAGCGTGGTGTCCACGCGTCGCGCGTGAGCGTAGGATACTATAATATCCCACGGTGGATCTGCCGTGGGATATTATAGTATCCCACGCTGGATTGTGAAATCATGAATTTGAGTGAAATACCGTAAAAAATCACACTACCACGTGGTACAAATGCTGTTTTTTCATTGGACAATTTGAATTTGAGGTATAATATTCGCTTACAGACAACTCGGCCTCGTTGTCTAATTGTTAAATAGTTTTGAGCGCGTGTTACGTAACAATGTAACGTAAAAAGAGGATGTTACACGGCGGCGCGAAGATATGACTTTTATCTTCGAGTGGAAAACAATCGCGAGTGAGTGAAATATTGTTTTTAACACGAGAAGATAAAAGTCATATCTTCGCGCCACCGTGTAATGTTCTGTATTTAATAGAGTCCCAAGCAAAAAATTGTGAAATTTCATGCTCAAAAGCAAATTGGAAAAAGTCACGTGATGGATATCTTCACTAGTAAAGATATGGAAAATATCTCACTGTGTACTCTCACTCTCTACTATATAATAAAAAAGATTCTCCTATTAAAATAGCTCAAAAACGATGTAAGATATACTAACCGTTTATCGATCAACTGCCAAGTCATTTTCAACATAAAAATGGATGAAAAAATCCAAGTTAGCGGTCATGAGGGCAAATTGAATATATGAATACAACGAAATATATAGAATCCATTTCTTTTGCTTACATTTTGCGCACTTGCAACATTCACTAGCAGACTTTGCGTATGGTGAAACTTTCAAATATTCTCCCTATAATGCACAAAAATATATAAATTGTGGTCAAGATTATCTGAGGGTTTTTGTTCGAAAGCGGGTTAGCTTAATCTTGGGTTAACGATAAGCTTCAAAGCAATCTCCAATAGGTAATAGCTTTTTTATAAACTTACATGTATTTTTCCAGACATCGTGTCTGGATCAATAGAGTTTTGTTTTTGAACGTTTTCAAACAAACGAAGAAATACCTTCGTGCCTCGCACCCAGGCGCTTTGGTTTGTTTCTTTCACGGCATCAAGCGCACGCGGAATTGATCTTAATTATTCCACACAAAAGCCAGCTGGGCCGCAGCACATAAGTAAATGCCATATACAGAGGTCTCGCTTCTTATTAATTTCAGCATTAGGGATTTTCCCAGTCCGCCATGTTCTTAGCAAGTGCCCAAAATAGAGGTCGTCACCTCCCTGAAAAGATATTGAAATTCAATGTTCCAGGGGGGTGAATGCTCGGGTGAATGCCTTTCTTTAGGCCGCCAGATATGTGCAGTAAAAACTACCTTACTTCTCGCGAAGTGAGATCTCTAAATAATAGCAGTAACAAAGCGACTGCATAGGTTTAACCCAGGGGGTTTAAGTTAACCCTTGAACTGGATTAACGTCAATCCAGCTTTAGACTTTCTTAGGTTAGCGCTAATCCACCATCGTGGACATAAGTTTTTCAATAAAATATTAATTTGTCTCTGTGAGAGTTTACATTGTAGTTCAATAGTATAGTAATCGACAAAGGGCCTTCGTTCGAAACATCGAAATTCTCCTTGTATTTTTCAGGTAGTTGCACCCCTTTCAATCCAATAGCCAAAATAGCCGCTTCCAATACCTCTCCACAAGTTATTCCTAATGTTTTGCAGACGGATATGACAAAATGAATGCTCTTTTTACACTCATGCTTGTGGCACGGGTCTACCGTATCCCATGGGATTGGCTAGAAAAGTAAAAATAAAATATCGAATTATTTATAGGGCCTGTTTATACTGCAGAGGCAACTGCCCCACTCCATCGCTCTCCCCACCCCCAACACCACCCCGCCCCCTCTCCCCAATAATTTTTGGAAGTCTTTAAATGATAGCTGAATAATTATTGTGCAACAAAGCTCTAACAATAAATTTTCAGCCATGAAAGCATGCAGTGGTAGCAATTATTGGCAATGGAATCTGCGGCGACCGAATTCAGTTAAACTAAAATTTTCAGCAACAAAAGCCAGGTAGTTATATGTTGGCGACCTAAATTGCTCCACCGGAGTACAGGGCATTTATTAGAGAGCGGTGTATAATACAAATTTCTCTGAACTGGAAGAGCAAAAGAGAACCATTATGAATTGCATTATAATGTATCATCATTATTATCGAATAAAAAAGTTTGTTCGTAAAATTTATAAAATCAGTGAATACCCGTGCAGTTATTTTGGTTATTCAAGTCTATTTAAAGCGGTTTATACTTACCGCACATTCAGGCAATGGACCCGAGACGATCGGTGGAATGAAAGATTTCTCCTCAAGATTCAACGAAACAGGTTTTCCTAGGTGAGAGAATAAACCCTGAATTAGGTCAGGATGAAACGAGGATGAAAGCCGGTATGAGAGTTGGCTGTCACGAGCTGTTCTTAATGCTTTCCCAACACTATATCATTCTATTAAAGTTAGGGGCTGATTACATGGGTAGTTTTCAGCCCATGCAGGCTGAATTTCAACCCGGTTAACCGAGCTCAAATTAGAATTTCAGTTCTAATCATATAGAGCAAAATTACTCAAATATGATTGGCTAACGATGAGGGCTTTTTTTCTTAATTCAAGGCAAAATTACTTGTACCTGATTGGCTGAGATGCAAGCGCGGTAAGTTTCTTGTTGTAAACAGCCAGAAAAACAATGGCTTCTCGCTTTGTCGTTGGGGAAAATTATGTTATTGAAGAATTAAAAACTACTAGTGAAAACTCAACCACTAGAAAAAGTAGAAATTTATTGGTTGGCGTATTTAAGAAAAGGGTAGGCAGGGCATGAGCATTATTCCATTAAGAAACATCGGCGAAGGCATGGAGACATACGAGATTCAATAACTTGACAAGTAATTCACAATTAACTTACGAATAAATTTTGTCCTCTATGATAATCGCATATAGTTCCTCGTAAAATTGTGATTTAATTTCACTTGTGTTTTCAAAGTTTCACAAATTGCGACTCGGTTTGTGAAACTTGAAAACACGCTTGAAATTAATACTTGAAATTAAAAATACCAATGTAATCTAGTAACATGATTTTTTCTGTGTTGGTGTTGTGTACTCAGGTGAATATGAAGTTTGTGATGTTACTCTGAGTGTATATCCACACCGGGTGAGCTTGAAAAATATGCCTGACCACGGTGGGAATCGAACCTACGATCTTTGGAATAGTACCCCAATGCTCTCGCGTAGTTCAGTTAGCAGAGCATTGGGCTAGTATTCCAAAGGTCGTAGGTTCGATTCCCACCGTGGCCAGGCATATTTTTCAAGCTCCCCCGGTGTGGATATACACTCAGAGTAACATCACAAACATCATATTCACCTGCATGAGTACACAACACCAACACAGAAAAACTCTTTTATGGAATTATGCAAACTTGTAATGTGAATTGTTTTTGAAAAACAATTTTTGCAGGTTGAAGTGCGATTTTAAGACAACGTTTGGCGACTTACAATTCGATCATATTTTTGTTTTAAATTTCGAAAGATTCGGCATCTTTCTTTGTTATACGCAGACCGTCTGTTTCGTGATTCAGGTTGATTTTCCAAAATGTTGCGAGGAAAATTCCGGTGTTAATTAAGTGATTAACATTTTGAAATTTCTATAGCGCAAATTTACATGTGCATGGATATGATCAAACCCAGCGGGAAAAATGACGTTTATCCAACCGGCGTTGAATCAACGTTGGAAATGACCTTCCAGACGTTGGATAGACGTTGAAAAAGGGTTGACTATGCAAATTGGATCGACGTTACTGTTTCGACGTTGAAACAACGTTGAAATTAGGTTGCCAATCTCGTCAACCGTAATTCAACGTTGAATCCACGTTAAAACAACGTTGAGATTGGTTCACAAATCGACACATTTAACCATGAATGAACGTTAATTCAACGTCTGTTGGCTGCTGTTGAACCAATGTTTGTAAAACAACGTCAGAGCAACGTAGATATTAGGTTGTCGACGTCGCAACCTTTTTTCTACCAAATTTCAACGTTGAAACAACGTCGTGTGCCCGGTGGGAATGCGCTCTACATCCAGTATTACGCTTATCTAATGGACCATTTGCATATAGACTAAATTTTGATCTAGACAAAAATTTCATCACAGCTTGAAAGAGCATCACAAAATTAGTAATATGCCAAAGTTTCGTTGCGAAATGTTGTAAAATGCGGATAATATAGCCTTGCGAAGTTTGCCGTTTTTCAGTCATTTTGTATTACAAACGGGAAATTGATGCCCCAACACCCGATTGGGCTGTCAATTTCCGCCAAAAAAAAATTTTCCGGAAAGAAAAATTTTTCGGCACCTGTCGGGCACAATTGGAAAAAGTCGGGCAAATTTCTTTCTGCCCCCCTAATTTTTTCCTTCCCGTACGCCTATGGCTATATTATCCGCATTTTACAACATTTCGCAACGAAACTTTGGAATATTACTAATTTTGTGATACTCTTTCAAGCTGTGATGAAATTTTTGTCTAGATCAAAATTTAGTCTATAATGCAAATGGTCCATTACATATACTTATCTTAAACTATTTCATCTTTACAACAATTGTGATATTACTTTCTTAACTGTGTTTATCCTAACCCACCCTGTCAACTTTCCCTGTGGGAGGAAACCGGAGCACCCAGAGAAAACTTACGACTTTCAACAGAGCGTTGATCGACTGCATTGTGTAGTTGAGCAATTAAGCAAGGATTTGTATATATTATTGACGTAGGCGGGGAACCCCCAACTAAACTTAACTAATATCTCTTTTATATAATAAGTTTTGATGCTTATTTTTTGTCAATGGGTGATTCCAGTAATAGGCGAAAGAAGAATAACGAAATCCATTATCATAGGTGGAACGAGCATCTTGAAATGAGTTAAATAGCAAAGTTTGGTTGCGAATTGTTGAAAAATGAGGAAAATATATATAGCCCTGTGAAGTTCGCAAATTTTTAGTATATTAATTTGCATTACGCGCGGGAAAAATAACCATTTTTGAGCCGAAAGTGGTTATTTTTTCAGCGCATAATA